CCCAACCAGAACAGGGAGCATGAAAACAGACAGCTCCGGCTGCTTCTCCCGAGCAGGAGGTCACCCTGCAACACAGCAGCACACCGCAGCATCCCGCAGGACAGGGACACCTCGCTGCTGGCAGCGCTGCAGGGACGCGGCAGAGCCTAAAGCCCGGCTTAAGTGTAAGGCTGATCTGAGCCGGGGTAGCTGCAGGCAGCAAATGCATCTGCAGCCAGGCAGGTCACAGCACGCAGGGTTTTGGGGCATGCAGGTGCCTGAAAACAGGTCAGTGACAATCGGTAACTCTGCTTCTCTGCCAGCCTGGGAAAGGTCTGGCTGGCCTCCTTGGCTGTGGCTGCAGGAAAGGGAAAAAGGATGAGGTGTCCTGCCCGGCTGCACCGGAGAAGTGAGCGCTGGGCCACGAGAGCCAGCCCAGATGCCTGCGGGCAGCTCTCAGAGCCCCACTGCCTCGGAGGGAAGAGAGGAGGAAGGGAAGGTGGGAAAAGAGGGCATCCACCTCAAAGCCAGTTCTTTGGTGTGCGAAGTGCTCAAACACCACCTCAGAGCAACTGGGAGAAACTCGGGAGAGCTCCAGTAAATGATGCTCCTCAGCCCCTGCCCAGGCAGTTTACTTCCCTCTCCTCCCCTTTTTCCCTTTGCCTCGCGTGAGTGCTTGGGAAATAAACGATGACTATTTGCCTGCAACTCTAAGCCCTTCCCTCCCCCTCTCCCCAAGCTCCATCACCAATAAATCACCCCGCTGGGAGAGAGGGCCAGAGGAAACCAGAGGCACAAAACCTCAAACAGAGCCTTTTTTCCCCTCCCTGCTCTCCCAAGCAGCTCTGCATTTCATTAGGCGGCCAGGCCAGCCCTCGCCCAGCTGGGGAGAAGGAGGGAGGGGAGGGGGGCCCCTCAGGGTTTGCATGTCGGGAGCAGAAATCACAACCAGAAGACCGGGAGAAGGGAGTTGTTTGTGTTTGTCGCTCATCCCGGTGCTTGCCTGGCCCTGACCCTGCCTCCGGGAGCCGTGCTGGCCTGGAATAACTCTCTTCCATTGGGTTTCCTCCTTGCCAAGCAGCTCTGGGCACCTTCCAAACAGCTTCTCCCCACTCCAGCCATCCCCTCATGGTGCCAAACCCTCTCTCTGCCCCACTCTAGCCTCTCAAAGGATCCTCCTTGGAAGAAGCCCTGGAGTTTTCCATGAGCCTTAGCCCTGCCAGCAAGCTCCACAGCCTTCCCCCTCCTCTTGGGCTGGACCACCCTGCCCAGGAAAACACGGAGCCTCTCCCTGCTTCCCTGCAAGAACCCCCCAACCCGCTGGGGACCGGGAGGGGGTTCCCCCCACCCACACTAAATATAGATTGGCAGAGCATCACCGCCAAGCACAGTACATTGGAGACAGATGCAAGCCCCGCAGCAGCACGGGAGATCCAGGCGTGCCTCTCGCCAGCCTTTGGAGCTATCATCTAAGCACGCAGCACTGTGCCACAGCACTCCCCATTCCTCCCTCCCCCCTAAAAAAAACCCTGTCCTGGGGTTTAGCCCTTGGCAAAGCTTCCCAGGACTGCTCTGATGTCCCCGGGCTCCCCAAGCAGGGAGAGTTCCCCAGAGGTGCAGTCCCCAGGGATGCTCCGGTACCTCCGGGCAGGGAGAGATCCCAGGAGACTCAGCCCCCAGGGATGCTGCGGTACCCCCGGGCAGGGAGAGGCCTCAGGAAACACAGCCCCCAGGGATGCTCCGGTACTCCCGGGCACGGAGAGATCCTAGGAGACACAGCCCCCAGGGATGCTGATATCCCCATGCAGGGAGAGGCCTCAGGAGACGCAGCCCCCAGGGATGCTCCGGTATCCTCAGGCTCCCTGCGGCTCCCTGAGCAGGGAGAGGCCCAGGCAAGCACAGCCCCGCTGCTGGCTTGCCTCCCGCCTCCCTCCCAGCAGCCCGCCGGATTCCTGAGCGCTGACACAGGATGCTGCAGCAGTGAGTGTACAGGGCCTTCCTCCCCTTCCCCTGCCCCAGGAGAAGAGGAATGGCCGGGTTGCATCAGGCCAGGAGAGTGAGAGCAGCCGGAGTGAAACGTGGAGCCTCCTGCGAACCCCTGGCTGCCCATCGGCTCCTGGCCCCGAGGGTTTCCCCCAGTCCCTGCTGGCACCTGGCCTGGGCCACACACCTTTAAAGGCCGGCATGATTCACACCCTTGACACTCTCTTATTGGCGAGAGCGGGTTTTAAGTCATTCCCTCTCCCCACAAGGTATCCCTGAGGGGAGCCGCAGCTCACCCGCCCGGAGCTGCAAGCAGGGATTGCTCCTGGATGATTACAGCAGGAGAAAAGTGAAAGGCTGCTGCCTGCCCTCCTTCCCAAGCATCACTCTGGCAGCCCAGCTGCCACGCTCCCTCTGCCAGCATCTATCCCACCCTCCGGCTGTGCTAAAGGATTTTCCCAGCACTTCTCTCCCACGGGACCTGACCCGAACTGGGGGAAGGGCAGCAGCAGCGGCGAGTGCTTCCAGCAGCTCGTTACTATTCTAGGAAGAGTAGGATCCTGCCATCTTCCCATTAAGTCATCTCCTCCTCGACCCGGTGAGGCAGTTTCCATAGGAGTCACCCTCTCTCCCAAGTGATGGAAGTTTTTATTTTTATCTGGCTTATTTATGCACTTCTTTCCTCCTTCGGCATTGGCCTGGGCAGTGAGTTTGGGTCATTAGCCTCAGCTCGAGCTCATTCCCTGTCCTTTCTCAGCTGTCCCCTCTGTCACCCTCATATCTGTAGAACTCATATCTGTGAGCAGAAAGAAAAGTCCAGGAGTTGAAGCAGCACAACAGAACAGATGAATTAAGGAAAATAGACCCAGCTTAGGTAAAAGTGATTATAGCAATTGGGAAAAAAAAAAAAAAGGCACTGGGTGAGTAAAAAATAAAATAGAGCAGAAAAATTATTCCAAAAGTAACACAGTGTCATTATTAGGGACCTTTTCGATTGGAGGCTGGTTTGGTCCAGACCCCTCAGCAGAGCTCACCGGCAGCTATCTGGCCTCTGTTATTTTTTTCCATCCCCCCCCAGCCACAGCAGCCAGAGGCTCCCCGGGGACACACACATCCCAAGGAGCAAACCCCACACGTAAAAACACAGCCACGGGATCAAGCGAGGCGTGCATCGGCACAGCAGATGGAGCTGGGCCGGGTCTTTCGGGGACACGGCTCCGTGGCCATGAGCCAGGAAGGGACAACTCGCTCACCTCAGGTAGCTCCACAGGAGGTCACACGAGCCTGAGGGAGCTGCGTGCACATGTGTGGGCAGTCTTGGCCCTGTTTGCAGAGGCCAGCAGCAATTGAGCTGTTGCACAAGTCTCCTCTGGAAGACAGAGCAGACACGAGCGCTGCTGGGTGCTCTGTGCCAGAGAGAGGTAGGGTCTTGTCTGTGTAGGGACACCAGGGCCACACAAACCAGTGGGACCAGGTATCTTCCAGGGGTTGGATGCCCAGAAAACTTCTGGAAATGCCAAGATCAGAAGTGCCCCATTCCATTTTGGGATTTGGACGCTGAGCAAAACCATCCACCTTCACGGAGATGCTGCAGGTGGACAAGGAGCAGGACTGAAACCTGCTCCCCCTGGCCTTGGGAAGGAAACTCTGCTGGTGCAGGAGCAGGATCCAGCCTCCAGCCCAGCTTCTGATCCTGAGAGCAGAATGTTTCACAAGGGAGCAGGAGAGCTGGGGGGATAGCCCTCTGCAGCCATCCTCCTTCTCCTGGCCATTCTCCTCTCACAGGAGAAATCCTGAGGTGACCTCACCTCCCTCGAGACAGGAGTAAGAGTGTGGAGTTCTCCTGGAGAGAACCTGTACAAGGGAAGCAGGGACAGTGCCTTCCCATCACCTCCCAAAGGTGAGTGAAAAGAAATGCCTCATCACACCCCATTTCCTTGTGTCATCTACCAGACTGAAATTGTGTCACCATTAGGTGCAATTACCTAGAAAATTAAGATGGTAGGACTTTTGCTTTTACTTAAGGAGCTATTAAATTTTACACAAAGTAGTAGAGCTGCCTCAAAGCCACCCTAGAGCAGGCAGTTTTTCCTCATCTCTCCCATCCCCCTGCTTTGGGATCACCCAGCCCAACACCTCCAATTCTCACAGATCCAAGGTGTTAAAAACCCCACGCTGGTCACTTCTCATGCCCCACCCAAAACGTTCTCCCAAGGTTCAGCCAGATATCCCAGGCTGCCTTTCACAGCACATAAACATCTTCGACTTGCCAGAGATACAATCCTCAGTCGAAAAGTTCATTAATTAGGAGCAGAGAAGCCTCTAGTGAATCTTCCAGCAAGAAGCAGGGAAGAAAAAATTCCCCCACAATTCAGTCTAATTACAACGCCTTAGGGCGCTCCACTCACTGTGAAGCCGAGGCCAAACTTTTCTCCCCACCCCTAAGAGCAGGAACTTTAACCCAGTTATAGTTCTACTGATAACGAAAGAGAAAAAAAAAATCCTCCTGATATTTATCGTTTCAACTATTCTGCAAGTAACAGCAAAGAGGCACAGAAACACTTAATGCAGAGCAGTAGCTGTGTTCTCCAGGGTAAAATCCACTCATACAGCCCCAATCCGGATCTCCGTGCAGGCAATGCTGGAGGCCAGTGCTTGGCCCAGCTGTGCCACAGGCCTGGTCAGACTGCACCCAGCTGCTCCTCTGGGATTTAGCAACCGCTTTCCACCCACACACAGTGACTTTGCACATTAGGTACTTTCAGAGCAAGCCTCAAATGCCACGGCAGCTCCGGTCCCGAGAAGAGGCTGTAGCCAGAAGAGCAGTGGGAATACCTGGAAGATCCTGGGAAGGGTTCCAGGCACCCTGACATAAGTTCCCTTTCTTCCCCAGCTCCCAGAAGAGCTGGACTCCAACCCACCCCAAAGCCTCTGGCGAGGCTGGGTGGATCCAGCCACAGACATGCAGAACCACACCCCGGCTGCTGCCTGCCCTCCTCCCCCTCGAGCCAGCAGGGCACAAACAGGAACTAGGCTCATACAGTTGAAAATATTTAATACGTGTTGTACACGTAGAATTACATTTTATACAAAACATGATACATCACTGAAAGAGAACACTGTACAAAATTCCCTACGGGAGCCCCAAGCCTTTATACAACAAAGACCGGGAGTCACCAAGCCTAACAAACAGGCTCAAGGACTTTCCGTCAGAGCGTCTGTAAACTTCGTTCCTCTCAATAAACACTTTTAAAAAGCACCATGTAATAGTTCTGACCTAAACCTTTCCAAAATAGAAACTTTATTTAATAAACTTAATACTTTCCAAGCTTAAAATATCACCCGCCGGGGGCGCCCCTGGGGTCGGCGGCAGCCGAGGAGCCTCCCCCGGGCGCCGGGGAGGGCGGCGGCTCTGCCGGGAAGGGGAATTCCGGGAGGGCAGGGCCGGGGGCGCTCCCAGGGCGGGTGCTGGCAGCCGGGACCCGACGGGGAACGGGGAAGCGCCGCCGCTGCTGCCCCGCGGTCCCTCCCGTGCGGCGGCGCGGGGCGCCGGGTCCGGCCGGCGCCGGAGCCCCGCGGCGCTCGGTGGGTGTCACCTCCGGGCCCCCCAGCCCGCGGCGGGGAGCCAGTCTCTGCGGCCGGGGCATCAGAAAGCCACGATGGCCGTGCTCCAGGGGTTGAGGGTCCGCAGCACCGGCTCGTCGCAGCAGATCTGTCCCGGCTCGGCCGCCGCCTCGGCGGGCGCCGTGCCCGCCGCCGCCTCGCCGCCGTCCAGAGGCGGCCGCCGCCGGCCCTTGGGCTCTTTGCTGAGCAGTCCCGAGAAGCTGGAGCCGAAGATGCTGATGAGGCTGGCCACGTTGCCCGTATCCATGTCCTCCTGCTCGCCTGGCGGCGAGGGCGGCGGTGGTGGCGGCAGCGGCGGCGGCTCCTCTTCCTCGCGGCGGGGCTTCTTCACCGGGGAGCCCGCCTGGCCGCGCTCGCCGGCGCTCCGCTTGCGGGGGCAGTGTGGCGGCGGGGGGGCCCCGGCGCAAACCCCGCGGTTTTCGCCGCAGCAACAGCGCCGCGGCCGGGGGCCCTGGCAGTCCCTCCCCGCCTCGTCCTGCGGGGGCGGCGGCGGCGGCTCCTCGACCGCCCAGGCGGCGGTGCGGGGCGGCGGCGGCGGCTCCTCCTCGGGGTGGCCGGGGGCCGCGGGGGGCGGCTCGGGCGGGCAGCCCGGCTCGCTCAGGTAGACCTGTCGGGCGCTGCGCAGCACCAGCGACACCAGGAGGTTCTTATGCAGCTTCAGGCCGCCGCGTTGGCCCCGCGCGCTGTAGATCTTGCCTAGTGAGATGCTGACGATGCGATGAGCCTCCAGCTTGAACTCCATGGGGAAAACCGGTGAGTGAGGGGAGGAAAAATAAAATTTAAAAAAAAAAAAAAAGCAAAACAAACAAAAAAAAAGACGAAGAAGCTGCGGGCCGATGGGGACCGGCGTGTCACCCCGGCTCCGCACGCCGCCCCTTCGCGCCGCAGACTGAGCGAGCCCACGCGCCCGCCCGTCTTTTATACCGTCCCCGCCTCGGCCAATCAGGGCGCGCCGCTGGCCGCTCCAACCGCCGGCTGGCCCCCGCGCGCCCGCGCCGGCCAATGGCGGCGCAGGGCAGCGCGTTCGAAAGCTCGCCCCGCGGAGAGGGCTCTTAAAGGGGCAATGCCAGCGCGCAGCTCCGGGTGGGGCCCACCGCGACACCTCCGGTTCGCTGCATCCCACGTGGGCAGAGGGGGCAAGTTTGTCCAAAGCGATGGAAACGTTCCTTGGGGAAGGGGAAAAAAAAAAAGAAAACAAACGAACAAAACAAATCAAACCCGAGCGCAGCCTCCGTTTTGTCAGGTTGGGAATGTTTCCCGCAATTTCAGCCCCCCGTCTCTGCTATCTTATCGTGTTAGAGAAGGAGCTGGTGGTGATGTTGGCTGGAGGGCGAAGTGTGTCTTTGAGGATTTCAAGGGAAATCTGCCCTGACGTGGAGCAGAAAGCCGTGCTTGCCCAGCTGCCAGGCGGAATTCTCCTCCAGGGGTCTGGCAGTGAAGCCCACAGGAAGCCCAGGGCAGAGAGGAAGATCCACAACAGGGTTGGGAATGGCTACAGGGAAGGACAAATAGGGCATCTCCAAGGTAATGGCGACCACAGCAAACTGGAGTACCTTGTTTGGGAACTGAAACTTCTCTTGGCTGTAGCTGTGAAAGCTGGTGGCAGGATCAGCTGGGTTGCTGGGGGGACACAGGGGACAACACAGTCACCCCCAGACACAGCTCCAGGCAACAGGGAAGCCTCCAAGAAAGTTTGGAGAGTGTTTCAGAGCTTGGAGTGCAGATTCTCCACCACCATTTGCAAGCAGAAAAGAAGTGAAAGGGCCTAAAATTAAGGAAGTTCAACATGCTGCCCCAGAGTATCAGTTTCCATTCCCAGCTGACACATAACAACTTGTTTCCATCCTTTTTTTCCCAGGGGATGAATCCACAGACTCCCCCAAAGGAAAGCCACAGGTTGTCATGTTGTTTTGTTGGCAGGACCTGTCACCACGTCTTGGCTTTCTGGAAGGACAAAAGGATGGCTGGTCACAGAGGTGACAAAAAACAGGTGAAGATGAGGCCACACCAGTGCATAGTTGACATAGCGAGAGCCTTCTCCAAAAAATAAAACAAACCCACTCTCAGGACAAATATGTGTTTTCCTCCTGGTCAAACACAGATGGAAAACCTCAAATGCCACTCTCTGAGTGTCAGACACAACAGCATGTCAGCCTGGGTGTTAACATCTCAAAATGCCCACCCCTCCTCCACCAAGCCTGCCATGCTCCATCTGAAGTGACCAGACCGGGGCATGCTCAGCCAAAACACCAGCCAAAACAGCCAGGCCCAGCTTCCCCCACCGGCAAAAGGTCCCACAGGCAAAAGGTCACAGCTTAGCCCACAGCACGGAGAGCCTCTCCTGGCTGCAGGGAGCAGGGCTGTCCCCTCCACACCCAGCGTGGGAGGCCAGAGGGACGCGAGCTCCAGCGGTGGGAACCGAGGTTTTCGGCACCCGCCAAACCTGCTCCCCACACCTCGGAGGGCCAGCAACACCCTGTCCTAAGGCCTCGGGTCAGCCTAACCAGCCAGGGCAGGTCTGGGCTCACATGCCTGGGACTGCAGTCATGGCTCTTCACCCACAGCCAGCACATCTGCCCACCACCAGTGTCCCCTCACCGGCACAGCTTTGGCTGTGCCCCTGGAAGATGCATCACCAGCTCCTGGACGGCTGTTTGCAGGATCTGGGCACTTGCACCTTCAGCAGAGGTGTCCTGGGTCAGAAAGTCAGATTTGATACATCTCCGCTGGGCATATCCCAACTCAGGGACAAAAAGTAGCAGTGCAAAGTCATCACACCAGCTGTAAAAAGCCCAAAGCAGGTGGAGGAGGCACAGCGTGGGAGCTCTGCGGGGTGAAGATGCTTGGATCTGAGCAGACTGACCTGTTCTGCCACTCACCACCTCACCCTGATGGCATGAGGCACCATTTCTCTCCAGTCACTGCCTTTTGGCTGCTACCCTGCCTGGGAAAAGGCGGGCCAGCAGCCTCTCCCGGCTCTGGCCAGGGATTAGCAGGATTGGGGATGTGGACTGAGTGATCCCTCATCCCTCTTAGTGCTCAGACAGAGCACCAGCAGGGAGGAGCAGGGGTGCAGAACGTCCGGCAGCAGAGCTTGTACCACGAGTTTCACCCACCAACACCGTGCCTGGTGCCAGGCACAACCCATCAGCATGAGCACCAAAGCCCTGCCTCGACATCTGCCTGCTCTCCGTGCCCTTTGCAGAGATGGGGTGATGGTTTGCTGTCTCTCGGGGGGATCCACGGAAGAGGCAGGCAGGAGAGGAGCAGCAGCAGCGCGGGCAGAGGCAGCAGAGGCAGCCGGTTGAAGCCAGGCAGTATTTTGGTGGCAGCCCTGCCGCTCCCTCCCAGGCTGATGTCATGCTTTAGTAACTTTGAGGCAGAGTCACATGGCAGCTTCTGAGGTCAGCGCCTGGGGTGGCTTTGTCTGCCTTCCTTGTGCCTGCTCTGGGCTCCTGCCCGCGCCCGGAGCGGCCCCGCTGGGGCTGCCCTCTGAGCACGGCAACCTCCCGACAGCCACGGCTCGGCATCCCCGCGATTCCCGCAGCCGGGCACTGCGTGAGAGCTTCGCATCCCGGAGAGCTGGATGCACCCCCTGTCCTTCCATCTGCCCGGGGAAGGGACATTGCCCCCCACCCCTGCGGGTCAGGGGGGGATACGGGAGAAGGAGGCGGAGGGAAAGGGTGTGACCGGGCGCTCTAATCTCCTCATGTGATCCAACGGGCTTGGAAGGGGTTTGACGAACAATTAACAATCCTCCGGCTCAGCTGCTGTTTCCCGAAATAGCTCTGGCAGCAGGAGGAGGAGGAGGAGGAAGGGGGCGGCCGGGCTGGCTGGCAGACAAAGGTGGCCTCTCCGCCAGCAGAGCTGGCCGGCACGGCGGCGAGGAGGCAGCCCCGGAGGCCCACCTGGAAAGGAAAACAATGCGACATAAAAGCAGCTCGAGGGAGGAAGCAGCTTGTGGTACAACTAATAATTGCAGAGGGCTGCGCGCACACCACCGGCGTTTTTTGGAGGCGTTTCAATTCGCCCTCGCTGCCGAGCAGAGGAGGTCGGCGCCGGGATGCTCGCTGGGGCTTCGTGCGGTCACATCTTGGCCGGGAAGGGCGGGGGATGCTGGGGCAGCCCCAGCTCCGGCAGCACCGCTCTGCCGGCCCCCCGAGCTTGGCTGCGCCCCGGCACGGCACGGCCATCTGGCTCCCACACGGGCACCCCGACCTGCGGCCGCGGGATGAGGATGTGGTTAGCGAGATCCTGTTCCGACAGCGGCGCCTGTCCCCCTCCTCAGCCCCCCTCCGGCTCCTCGCTGTCAACAAATGTGCGGCCCAGGCCCCAGGGGGAAGCCAGATGTAGTAAAGAGGATGGATGGTGAAATTGGGGTCTCCTCAAAGCACAGCTGAAGTCATCCACCACCGGCTGTGCCAGCGCCACTGCAGTGCATCGACGCCTCTTTCTTCTATTCGGACCGGGATTCACGAGTTAGAGCCTTCCTGAGAGGAGGATGGGAACAAATCAATCAAAAGCCCCTCACCACCAGCGGTGCTGAGGCAAAAGCCTTCACACCAACAGCTGCCTGGAGCAAAAACAGAGCTTCAGGACAACCAAAGCCCCAGGGAGACCAGGTCACATCCCCAGTGATCGCTGACGTAAACGAAACAGGACAGAGAGGAACATTTCCAAATGGGAATCTATCCACAGCTTGAGTTCATTTCTGGATGGGGATAAACATCTAAATTGCGAGGCACCCATGCGGAGCTCAGGAGGAAGAGGAGGAAGGTTGGGATTGGGTTTTTCTCAGAAAATTCAATGATTCACGTGGATGCGGTCTGGACCTGCCACAATCGGATATTGGTAACTAATCCCCCAGGGTTCCCAACTGCTCTGCTTTATCCTTGCTTGGAGATAAGGTCAGAGGAGCTGGGAAACGTCCCAAAACACAGCCCAGAGAGCCAAACACTTATCGCTGATGAATGAAAGCCAAACACAAGTGAAACAAATACAAACAAATCAATACAGACCTAAACCCAAAGGAGAGGAAGCAAGTCCCTCGGCTTCTGAGAGCGCTGAGACACCCACCCCAAACCACAATGAGGTGTGAACCTGCAGCACAGCCATGTACTAGAAAGCAAAGGGGTTTTCCAGAGTTAAAACCCCCTCCCCATGACCGAGATTATAGTGCTGATATCCCAGGCAGGCAGGAGTCTCTCCTACACTTTTTTTTTTTTTTTTTTAATTTTTCACCAGTGATCTGGGATTCCCCCTTCTCCCCCTACACAAATGATATAAAATTTCCCTTCCCTCCCTCTGAGCCACTGGCGTGGGATTTCCCTCTCCTCCCCTGGAGAACAGTGACCTGTGCCTCTGCCCATCAGATATCCTGCTACTCCTCCAGCAGCCTCTCCAAACACAAAGGGGGAGGAGGGGGAAATCCCACTCCCAGCTATTAGCTTCTTCAGGTAGCTGTTTCCCTTGGAAAAAAATGTGACCCCCTCATCTTTCAGTGGGTTATGGTACTGGTTTGGGTTTCCTGGGGAAAAAATGCATTTATTTGTCCAGGGTTTCCTATCAGACAGCCCTTCTATTGTAGTCCACCTTCCTGTATGTTTTTTTCCCTCTCTGATATGCCTGCAATGGGTCCTGTGCCACTTCCAAAGGCTGCCTTGTGTCCAGGATAAAGAATCAGGGCAGCCCTGGGATGCAGCCCAGCAAAGCCCGTGTTTTTCACTGGAGTGATTTGCTCGCCAGCAATCTCTGAGCTAAAGCAGGCAGCAGCCTCGGTGACGGGGGCTAAACATCTCCAATTAATCACAGGAACTCCGCGCT